AAAAAGGCAAGCATCAAATGGTGAAATCAAGCAACCAAATTATCCGAGAACAAAGTGCTGGAAAAGCCGTTCAAGTCGCAGTCGAAGATGCAGAGATCGGAACAGAGCAGAAATAATTCAATTCATTCTTAACAATAAAATGTAATCTGAATTATACAAAACAAAGCAAAAAAGAAAACAAAAAACAACAACAGCAAACCGAAAAAGAAAACAAAAGAAAATCATAAAGAAAACATTTTCAAAAGCTTTTACTTACTGGGAAATTCGATGGGTTGCAAATCAGGGGCGAGCCGTCATTTAATGGCTTTTATTAAGCCGATTTTTCAATTAAAAATTGTATTAATTGGCCAACGGCATTATTCGATGCTGGATTTTGCATTTATAATCCACATTAATAAAACGTCAATCATTTCGATGGGAAGTGCAGACATTGGCCTTCGAAGGCAGGAAATGTGCGAGATATTCGCACGGAAGTGGACCGCCTCATTAATTATAATGTGGGTATTTATAAGTCAGCAAAATCTTACGGACTGTTAAGGTAAGTACCTATATCAATCAGCACAGGCTTTGAAGAAAAGGTACCTAAAATGAACTAGCGAATAAAAATATTAATACATTTACGGAAAACAATTCCTTACATTATAAAATGAATTCATTAGAAGAATAGTAATGTAATTCCTGATTAAAGAAGACCTTTAAAGTAATTTAAGTTAAATGCGCAAACCCAAGAAGCTCACATAAATCCTTATGTTAAGCAATCAAGTAAACGAGTAAATCAAAGTGAATATAATCGTAAAGCAAACTGATTTCTGCGCATGAGAACGAGAACACTAATTCCCACGTTATTTAGGTCGATTGCAGTCAAGTGTATGCGATCATGAGTCATTTGATGGCCAACCCGCTGGGCAGGCCAAAATGTCTCCAGAGGGCCAAACATTGCGGCTGAGTACACATGTAAGCTCGCTTTCTGCTGAGTTCAGCAAACTTCTGTGGCAATCCGAAATGCTCAATCGTCTAACTCGCTTCTGATGGCCATAAATTCGAGCACCCCTCTGCCATCGAATCGCACAGTTTCGGTCTCGGAGGCCATAAAAACGTGCTGCATACAATAGTTGAGTAGAATCATGTATGTTGCTTTTCAATACGCAGTAACAGAGTGGCAACAACCACAACGACACCTGCGCGCCCCGTTAAAGGCAAATCCATGTTGAACCCAAAGTAAACCTTATGCCCCACTAGCCCCCACTCAGAACAACGCACACGTACACTTGTGGTCAGAACTAGATTTATGGCCACTTTCACATACTACTTCCCATACACAAGTTGCCGATTCCGACGGCTGATTCCCGTGGCAAGGTCACTTTTAAAGATGCCAGCAAGCAAATCGTTTTCCAGGCGAGTAACTCTACGTGACTGTCCTTAAATCTCAACCACTAATCCATCAGAATCCGAGTTACAGGGCTGGTACTGGGCTTGATTTACTTATGGTATGGCTTTTAGACACAGTAAGATTATAGTAAATTCGTTGATTAGTGTGTTAAAGTAAGAACAGGATCCACAGTCGGGTCGATAAATACTTGTCCGTATCTTTGTCCGTCCGTATGAAAGAGTGAAGTTCATCTAAAAGCCTTAGAGCTTATTAGTCTTTGAATAAAAATGAACTTACACCGTGAAGCTACAGTTACAGTTTTACACCCAAACATCTGAAAAGCATTTCTTCACACAATTACGCTATTGAAAATTCCTCGGACGCACTAGCAATCATAGATAACTAACGCTACTTAAAGCCGCATGATGCAAACTGGTATTTGCTTGATTAAGGAAACGCGTGTGAAAAGCGTTGTGTGCCCGATTTAAAAGTTTCGAAATTTTATTTACTGCTCGATGCGATACTTGATCCCAATCGAGCTCTTTAATATGGTCATCAATTACATATGGGTAAATGAAGCGCAAAACTCCGGCGGCTGGCGTATGCAAATACATAATATATACACACATTTTCACTTTGTTTTCATTTCGATTTTTTCCCAACCATGTTTTTTATTCAGCTTTGGTTTGGCTCTGCAATTTTAACGCGCTTCCGTCAATTAAACTTACGAGGCGTAACTGGCAAACTGGAAAATTGTGTCACACACAAGCCACCCGAAACCCTCCCACCGGAATGGGGAATGGGGAATGGGGTGGTGGTGGTGGCGGTGGCAAGTCGAGGGGTTGCGATGTTGCACATGAATGTTGCATGCTGCTTACATTCGCATATGCGGCGATGATCGACATAGTTAAGTGAAAATTTATTGCCAAAGGAAGTGGCTGGCGGACGGGGAGACAACGGCCTGATGTATCGGTTTCCGGGGCTTTCGGTTGGCTTTCGGTTGGATAATCCTTGGCAGGCCAATCGGCAGTGAAAGGCCGTAAGCACAACAGGTTAAGCAAATTTGGCATTTGCATTGGCGTCACCGCCGTTCGTCATCTCCAATATTAATCTTTGCCCAAAGTGCACATACAAATGAGTGCTTTAAGTAAGTTACCTTTTGCAAGCAAATATTCACAGGTAATGAAAGGATTCTAAAGGATTTGCTTATCGAAGATATCTCCCTGACTGTGAAACATTTTTCCTGATAAACAATGGAATGGATATAGTAGCACTATAATGTATACAAATATTTATGATTGAAAATGGCTATTGTTGAACGTGCTGAAAACTATTAACTTTCGTGCTAGAAAAATAAACAGATTTGTTCGACACATTTAGCCCCTATTAAGTGGGAAGTATTTTTAGCTGATGTAGCCGCTATCCACGCAAATGTGGTGCTAATAACCCGGTGCCAGTCAGCCATCGCATCGGATCGAGCCACTTTGTGTGCAATTAATTTTGACACTTTTTCGCAGTTGCGCGATCATGCTGGAAAAGTGGCCCCAACCGGTCAAATGGCCCGATGAAAATCGCCAGCTCTTATGATTATATCATCGAAATGTGTCTGTTAATTGCCCAACTTCTGGCGATGGAACCCCGCGAGGAGAAAACTTTTCTCCTCGCCAGCAATTGCAGTCCAATCAGTGGCCGTGGATGTATCAAAGTTATATCATATCAGGCGGAACAGCGAAGAAAAAGCGGCCAGAAAAGCCAAACTAGTTGGATGAGACCGTCTCCATCGGGGCGAAGACAATGACCAAGTGTCGTGCCGGTCTGGATTTGTCATTGTTATGCAATCGCCGCGGCGTGCCAGTGAAACCAGTTGATTAGCTGGTAGAAATGGTTAAAATGGTAGAAATGATAGAAATGGACGAAATGGACGAAGTGGACGAAATGGAGCGCTTCCTGCATTACATTCATGACTATACCTCCAGTACCTTCCACGCGGACCCAGCGGCCAGAATGGCCAATCAAATGAATTGCCACCGCGTTGCACATTCAAATTGCAATCAAATGCAGGTCGGCGCGGGCGCAGGAACACTGCTACAAATTGCCCTCAATTTACTTTCGAAATATTTGCAAAATATACAAGTTGCAGCCGTTGCACCAATGGGCTTGCCATCTTACTCTTACAATTTATTGTAATATCACTAATAGTTACATTTTCTTTTTGGAATCTATGCTGGAAATCGTACAGCTGAACCCTTGTTAATAATAATAATTGATTGAAATACAAAAGTTTAGATTAATGTGTGACCTTGTGTGATCTGAAACTTGAATGACAATATGAACACCACATGTTACTTACCACAACCATCTCTACATGTCTAAACCACTCTAACCCAATTAACTGCCCTAATCACTCGAATAATATTTTGAATTCATAAGTAGACCGCTGCGATTATTTTCTCTTAGTGGGAGTGCAGTTGACACGACGACATATTTCAGCGCACAACTCAATTTGCGACAAGCGAATGCCAGTTGAAATGCCTAACCAGGAAGCTGGCCAAATCCTTGCCACTGCAACTGCCGCTGCGGCAGAAACGGCCACTGCGAAACCGAAACTGCAACTGCAACTGCAACCTGCTGCCGGCGCCAGCACCTCCTCCCCCTGCCACGCCCCCTTTTCCGTGCCCCGGCGGCGGACAGACCGACATAATCGCTGCGTTTAACTCAGGCACAGGCTTCAATTACACGCTGCCCCATCTCACTGGCAGTCCGGCTCGGAAAAGTGTCTTCATGTTCGGCGGCTTTTCCAGCGGCTGCCACAGTGGGTGCGAGCGAGAGGGGGACATACGGTACGGTCGGGGAGCTTGTGGCTTTGAGCCTCAGTTTCTGGATTGCTGCTGGCGCCTGACTTTACTTTGGTTACTTTGGGTTCGCTTGGGCTTGGGCTTTGGCTTTGCCTCGGCTTATTTGCCGCATGTGTTTTCACTATCATGCCAGGATGACTGGACACCCTGCACCGCGCCAATTTTCGGGGTATATTGTATTGCAAATTGGTAGCCAAACAACTATACAAGCGATATTTATTGCATATGGCGTTAGGTAGTGTTCCTTACTTTCCTAAAAGTTTTTGGTAATTAAATAAGCTCAAATAACTAGTTTCAAACTAGTTTCAACAACTGAGTATATCTGAACATATACAAAGATACTTTAAATATCAAACAAATATAAGCAAAGAATTTTAGATACATCGCTGCATATTTTAAGCACCTTGACATACACTTTTTGTGCAGACATGACTTAAGGCAGGGCATTTGGCCAGTCGACCTGATCCGAGTGCTGCCAAGCGGCAGTCAACATGGCCACAAGTCCGAGTCCGAGTTCGAAACCCAGGCCGAGCTGAGGCAAGTCGACTGGCCACTTCCGCTGCCCCTCCGCCGCCCCTCCCTGGGCCAACTTGATTATGTTTTTGTTTTTACTTCGTTTCCAACTCAGCGACTTCGTGTCACCACTACCACCACCTTCACCGTCGCCGCACTGTTGCTGCAAGTGGCGCTGCCGTCTGTGGCACGTTTCACTGTAGCTCATAACTTTTTTCTTTGCTTTTTGCCTCATATTTAAGCGGATGCAGGCGGTGGGTCCCAGAGCAATTCCATTTCTACGCCCGTCGTCGATGGTTTACCGAAATCGCACTCTTAATCCAATTAAACAGCGTCGACTAAAAATATTAAAACAAAAAAACCCACACACACACAAGAAAAACAATGCATTTGCCCCAAGGAGTAAGTGTTAATTACAAATTCAAAACGAATAAACAATGGAGAGGCGGGCAACAAACGCGCGTAAACATTCAAAAAAACTCACCATGTTTGTGTTGGCCTGCAAAAAAAAAAAGGGAACTAAATAAATATTTAAAGTATATCCAGCTTAGAAAGTACGCGTTAATGCACGAAATATGCAAATAAAACGCTTTCATTTCGCAACGAATTCATTGACTCCAATCGCGCGGGAAATGAATAAAACAATGCGAAAAAATAAAATGCAAATAACCACAAAAACTTAATTTGTTTTTTATGAGTCTCAAATGTCGAAACATGAAAAGAACTCTCAAGTTGGCCATAAACGGTTAATTGAACGAAAATGTGCAACAAAGGGAAAGTCACATTTGCACAGCAGTAAAGGGAGCAACAAAGTGAAAGGCATTTATTTTGTGATTGTGAAAAGCCGGAAAATTACGAAAATATTAGTTTCCATAAAGTGATAAGTAAATGAAAAGGGCCAAGTTCAACTTTATGCACAGATAAACATATCAAAGGCATCAAAATGTGCTTTTAAATCTTCTTTTCACTAGCTGCTTAAAGAGTGTCATCGATTTCTAAAACTATATCCATCACTCAGTATTTTAAGAAGCTTTGATTAAACATTTAAATTGTTATCATAGTAACTGGTAGACAAAATATTTTTTTAAATCGTTTTTTGTTCTTCTCCCAAATTGAGCTTACGGGTTTTGAGTTTCTAAGAAAAAGGTGCCCAAGCTGGGCACAACTTACCACCAAGGGAGCAGTCGCCAAATGCTTTTCTATTTCCGTCTGGCCCAATTTGGAGTTGACCGGGCCCAAATGGTTCTCACCGTGCGGCTGACAGCTTCTGTCACGCCCACATCAGGAACTATCTGCAGATGAGGGCGTGCCCATCAACGTGGGATGGCCTGCCAATAATAATAGCCCCAGGACGATGAGGTCCTCGGATGCGTGTTATTATGCTAATTGTATTGTTCGGCTCTTTATGAGCTGCTTTGGGAAAGGCGGGGCGATAACCTCTTTACGTTGGCATCCAAATCGTAATCTTTTCACTTGTTTCCCTTGCAGGCATTAAGCTTTCTGTTCATCACTTGCATGATGTTCGCACTGGCAGGCGGCCATCCATCAAGCGACAAGCTGAAGTAAGTCCCAGCCCACGACCACGCCCCTTCCACGAGCACACTGAAAAATATGTTCATGTTCATCAATTTCGAGATTCATTTGAAGTACCACACATTTTGATCACAAAGGCATTATTTTCATTTACATTTTTGTTTTCAATGCACTCAAAACATTTGTTTGTATAAAATGCATTCACAGTAAATATTTACCACACTGTGCAGCACCGATTGTTCTGCGTGCAGTTGATAGAGTGCTCCTTTATTTGTTTGCTGTGTAACCATGTTCATGGGCCATTCGACCATTTACAGGATCCGAATACACGTGCCGGTGAAGCACCACACACATGTGCACACAAAGACGGTCATTAAGAAGGTTCCGCTGCCCATTCCGGTGCCGGTCAAGGAGCACCACCACGAGCCGAAGAAGCACCACAGCAGCCGCAGCCACCATCACCACCACCACGAGGACGACCAGGACGACGATTTCGAGGGCTACGAGTACCCCATCAAGGCCAAGCGGCGCACGCGGCATCCCTTTGTCTGAGCCACCCAGCCGCCCACTCCGCCCACTCAGCGGGGAAAATGAAATCAAATGAAATACAATTTACGCAGATTAAGATGAAAATAAACCAAAATACGAGGCAGCTTGGGTAAGCTGCGCATGGAGAGGCCAAGAAAAACACAGCAGAGCAACAAAAACGCAATTCTGGGTCCGATTTGTCACTGTTTTTAGTGCGTAAGAGTACAACGTAAAATAAAGAGAGAACCCTTAGATCTAAATAAACATTTCAGTGCAATAAAATATACAAAAATTACACTTAAGCACAATTTAAAGCCGGCATCGAAAACATTTTTTCTTTCTTGTTTTTTGCCTGCTGTTGGCCGCTTTTCATTGGCATTTCAGTCACGGCCAAGTTTGAGCAAATAAACATGTATTTGGGGGTTTCAGTTCGCATCTGTATGGGTAGTTGCAAATATAGGCAAATGCTAGGCACAATTTATACGCAATTGAACAAGGATTTATTCTGCGAACTCCCAAATAAATGGTACTTTTACATATTTTTGGCGACTAGCAATAAGAAAAAAATATAATTACAGGCAGTAAGTTTCCTACCTCTTTGAGGGATATTTAAAGAATTTGTCTCGATGTACGAAAATAGCTTCAAATACATTTTTAAATTAAATTGTAAATATATTCGAGGCATCGGTATATGCCAGCGAATAAGAAATCCACAATGCTCATCAGTTTGATATCAACATAACATATATATTAATATATATGCATCGGAAACAGGTAGCCTGTTACAACGAATTTAATATACCTTTTACTCTACGAGTAACTGTTGAATTATTTATTAATATAATATGTATAATATGTATACATATTTGTTTAAACTGCTCACTCGCTTTCATATAATAGTGCTCGAATATGAGGCGAGGTGACAGCCAAATCAGGAAAATTCCCCATTTTCTGGGCACTCAGCAGAGAGATTTAAACTGATTGAATTGAAGATTTCCAGCTGTTGCTGTTGCTGCTGCTGCTGCTGCCGCCGCCGATGCTGATGCCACTGATGTTGATGCCTCTGTCGCCGTGGCCCTGTGGCTGCCTCACCAGCTGCACCTTCTGTGGGATATTTGTGCATAAATAAATGAAGCGAACGACATGCGAAACAGCAAAGTAAACCCGGTGCCGGGCTGTTTGTAATGATGTTGTGGCTCCGTGGCATCATCCTCCGCCATCCTCCGCATCCCGGAGGATTGGTGGGCAGCGGGAGCTGGAGCTGGAGCTGGGGCCATAAAATATGCATGCTCAGCTCGCGTTCCTCTGTCCCGCTCTAACCAGCCCGGCAAGGCGACGAACCGGAGCGGAGCGACAGCACGTGCTGGGGCGTCTAGTCAACAGCCAGGCTAAGAAGAATGTCAACAACTGCTCGCCTGTTGCCTGTATGCACTGGGAGAAAACCGTGTTTCGTTTAAATTTTGAGAAATATTCAAGGCAATGTTAGGACAATTACTTCAATGCAATTGTAAATAAATTTTTACTTGTTTACCAACATTTTTGAAGAAGTTTTTAAGCTAATTAGATTTAGAAAGTAAAAAAATATTATTTGTAAGTTAAAATGTAAAGTAATTATGTAAAATGAATGTAAAATTATCTCCATATTAGAACTGCTTTAGTTAGCAACTTTTTCTGACTGTGCTGCGTGTTTTCCTTTCGGCCAAGCAAACAGGCCCGTGGCGGCAGCTGTTGATGGCTCATTTTCCACGACTTTAGCGCCACTCAAGTGGCAGCCTGAGTGCAAAGCCAAGGCGATAGCATAAGCAGCAACAAAGCAACAGCAGCAAAGCAACAGCAACAAAAAGCAGGCAACAAAAGCAGCCAACGCAAATGCCACTCGTCATACGGAGCCACTCAATTTACTGAGCACTCAGCGGCCGTGTACAAGATCAGCGGGGGAAATCGGACTGGCGGGGTGTCTAATTAATACGACCTCCCACCACCAGCCACCCACCACCCAGCACCACCCACAACCACCTGCTGGTGGGGCACACTTAAGTGTGGGCGGAGTGCGAACGGAAAAGAAACAGCAACTCAATCACCGGCGACCGAAGAAAGCGGGTCGATAAAGCAGTGCAGCCATGCGATCATACGATGTTAACGAACAGACTTTGAGCCACTGTAAACTAACCGCTGTTAAGCGAGATAACATTTCAGTTGAATTTATTTAGTTAAGTGTACCTCATAATCATAGAGTAAACGGGTATACCAGATTTTGCAAAAGTATGTAACAGCTTAGAGTTTCTTTACAAATATACCCGTGATCTGGATCAACAGCCGATCTCGATCATACATATAAAGAAACTTGTGGCAAGACGGATTGGTTTTTTATTTTATCCACACTTAGTAAGAAACTATACGCTAATAATAAACAAACATAAAAGATAAACAGACAAGTTATCATCTGTAAGAAAAATACATAATTGAATAATATACAAAAATCGCCTTTTTTCGATCTTAGCCGTTGTGTGGCAGAGGGATTAATCAGCCCGGGAACAAACATCGTGTTTAGGCGATGAAAGTCGCACTCCTGCCAATTTAAGGGTGTGAAGACCATATATTTACCTAGCTCTTCGTGCGGTTGCTCCTCCGCCAGTTGTTGTTGTTGTTGTTTGATTTGGGCGCTTCTATTTGATTAGGCCGCCTAAGCGGGCTACGTGCTTGGGTTAATTTGTGGCCCCAAGTGTTGGCCCAGGGTGCAAAAGTCATTGTTACGGGGTGTACATAGAAATGTATGTGAGTCTATCTGCGCCGATGTTTGTGTTTGTGGTGACAGCAAATAAATCGCACGCATGTGCTCGACCAGCAGTCAGCCACTCCGCAGATACACTCGAAAAACTCGATGTGTTTCACAAAAAAAAAGGGAATAAAAGCCGAACTATAAATTATAAATTCACATAGCTTAGTGAATATCATAAGACTTTAACTACATCATAAAATAACTTCATTTATGTAGTATTTGTTACCTGTTACGTTTAAATACGTGGCCTATTAGGGTCTAAAGAAAGCTTCCAGCAAATAAAAAAATTATACTGGTCTTAATTTAAATTGAATGACTAGTATAGTAATTTTTCCTAGTGTCACACACAAGCAATAGCACAAAAATTGTGCATAGCACGCATAACAATGAGAGAACATTTCGAGTTTTGCGAGGGTGGCGAATGGAAATGGGCCTAGACAAACTACTTCTCCGCTACTTAGTGATAAATATGCTGGCTAATCAAATGGGAACTAGATTTGCGGATTAGCTGCGACACGAAGTTCGTTGGCCAAGTTGCAAATCCCCTAGCTAATTTCCCTCATCGCCATCGACACGGACTTCTGGAATTAATCTTGAGCCTTAGCAACGAGAATAAGGCGCTGGGATCTTTAGTTTCATTAAATGCCATGGCTTCAAGTTCAAATAGCCAACGATTTTTCCAATTTGATCTATTAAAATGGTAATCTGCCAGAAATATACTGTATTCAAGACATATTTACGAAACAAAAAAATCCAAACATGTTTGTTCGCCATAACTTTGGAGACCATCAATCTTGGGGTCACTCGTCCATACCCTTTGACCCACCCAACGCAATAAAAAAAATCAATTTTATTATGCCCGGATTAGGCCAACACACCCCAGGGTATACATCATTCTACCTCTTCCATCAGCCATAATTTTCTAGTTGGTCAAGAAGTAAAGCACCAGCATGGGCCGAATAGGACATTTGTCTTGAGTGGACGGCGGCCACTGGAACCTTTGTTCCCCTGCTCCTCCGTCATATTTGAAATACAAACATAAAAGTAGAGATTTGCTGACTTCAGAGCATAAACCAAGGCAAACATAGTCCATATAAACAGATTGTTAAATATAGTTTATGCTGCAGGCGCTCAAAAAAAAGAGGAAATGGGTTCAGACTTTTCATATTTCTTTTACGATTCTGCGAGGACGTCGAGCTGAATGAGCAGAAGCTTAGTCCTGGGAAAGGGATGCGATTTTATTGCTCTCGGCAAGGGATGGGTATGAGTATGGGTATGGGATGGAATCAATTGTAGGGGTTTGGTTTTATTATTTGCATACTGCTTTTATGGCCCCCATTTAGCGATGAGAACCTACCACCGCCCGTTTAATTCCCAATTAATTTGGGATTTGGCCAGAACTCTCCGACCATATAATTAGATGGCCATAAAACGACCGCTAAATGGCAACGGCCAGAACGTACCGCATCTGCGGCAATTTGGGCAATAAATGCGTTCGTCACATGCAGAAATTAACTACAAATACTTGTTTTTCCCACTGGCGCAGCTGGCAAACCGATAGTTTGTTGCATATTTTACGGATTGGAAATGAAAGTTTCAAACACAGCAGAACGGGGGAAACAAATGCTGCATTACAAAAGCCAGCAAATTGGCGACTCATTAAAAGCCGAATGGTATTTTTCACCTTTTGGGAATGTGAAATATCGTGGGTCGTATTGCCGGCTGGTGCGAGCGAAATGGAACTTTATGCTTCATAAATAAACAGAACTATGGCCTCTTTTCCACAGCATATTGGTACAACTTTTATAAACAAATTTATTATAAATATACATTTGCTGCCTAAGATTAATAAATATTTGTTTATTACTTGAAAGTTTATCAGCTAACGATGGTAGAGTTCTATCCTTCAATGAAACTGTTTTGAATCATCCATACGATAGGTTCTCAGCTGATTAAGTCCAGAATTAGGAGAAGATAAACCTGCTCGACAAGGAAACCCCATTGATTGTCGAAAGCCTATTCTTATTCCATCAATATAATTGCGTTAGCCAAAAGTACACAGCTCCATAGAACTGCAGGATAGAAAAGCCAAGGATATGCCATAAAACCCGTTCGTTCAATCAGAACTTATTTGTATTCACTGATGGATTGGGGCTGCGAACCCTTTCGAAACTAACTGAAGTTCTGCGAATGCCATTATTCGAACTACAGTAAATAAACGAACGAAACGAACCCTTTCGGGGATAACAAGCCGCACAAAAGAAAGCAAAGCAACGAAATTGTGTGGCGTCACGTGCAAATCGAGGGGATTCATTAATACGCATTTGCTGTTTTGGCCTCAAGCAATTACCACGAATTTTCGGGGGTTAACGTGGTCGGTTGGCTGGTGG